ACAGAACAACAACACCCGGACTCTGTTTTAATCATTCTCGGGGACTTTAATAAAGCAAATCTTTCCCGTGAACTGCCAAAATACAGACAGCATATTACATGTCCCACCAGAGACAGTAGTATACTGGACCATTGTTACTCCACAATAAAGGATGCATATCGCTCGGTCCCCAGAGCAGCTGTAGGACTATCTGACCACTGCCTGGTTCATCTTATACCGACTTACGGGCATAAACTTAAATCTGCTAAACCTGTAGTAAAGTCTGTAAAGAGATGGACCAACGAAACAGAGCAGGCATTGCAAGCCTGTTTCGACTGCACTGATTGGAGTGTTTTTGAAGCAGCCACCAACGATCTGGACGAGCTCACAGAATCTGTAACATCATATATCAGTTTCTGTGAAGACATGTGCATCCCTACCAGGACTCATTTAACATTCAATAATGATAAGCCATGGTTAACAGCAAAACTTCGTCATCTTCGTCAGGCCAAAGAGGACGCCTACGAAAGGGGGGACAAAGTCTTGTACAATCAGGCCAGAAACACACTGAATAAGGAGATTAGAGTGGCCAAGAGGAACTACGCTAAAAAACTAGAACAGCAGTTTTCTGCGAATGAGCCTGCATCAGTGTGGAAAGGCCTGAAGGACATCACCAACTACAAGACACCATCCCCCAGCACTGAGGCCAATCAACAACTTGCTGAAGACCTGAATGAGTTTTACTGTAGATTTGAAACTCCCAGTCTAACACCCCACACCCGCTCTGAACATCTCTCCACACAACCATCAACACCTCCTGCAACCCCCCTCTCCCCCACTCCTACGTTTCAGATCAGTGAGGATGATGTGCGCCAGGTCTGCAGTTTGCTTACAGAGCAAACAGGTCCGTGGATGATGCAGTCAATATGGGACTGCACTTCATCCTGCAACATCTGGACAAAACAGGGACTTATGTGAGGATCCTGTTTGTGGACTTTAGCTCTGCTTTCAACACCATCATCCCAACACTCCTCCAGACCAAACTAACCCAGCTCTCTGTCCCTAGCTCTATCTGTCAATGGATCACCAGCTTTCTGACAGATAGGCAACAGCTAGTGAGAATTGGTAAATTCACATCCAACAACCGCACCACCAGCACTGGCACCCCTCAGGGTTGTGTCCTCTCCCCACTGCTCTTCTCCCTCTACACCAATGACTGCACCTCTAAAGACCCCTCTGTCAAGCTCCTGAAGTATGCAGATGACACTACAGTCATCGGTCTCATCAAGGATGGAGACGAGTCTGCTTACAGACAGGAGGTTAAAGAGCTGGCTGTCTGGTGCAGTCTTAACAACTTGGAGCTGAACACCCTCAAAACAGTGGAGATGATCGTGGACTTCAGGAGGAACCCCCCTGCACTCCCCCCACTCACCATCATGGATAGCACTGTAACGACAGTGGAGTCATTCAGGTTCCTGGGCACCACTATCTCTCAGGACCTGAAGTGGGACACTCACATTGACTCCACTGTTAAAAAGGCCCAGCAGAGGTTGTACTTCCTTCGCCAGCTGAGGAAATTCAACCTGCCACAGGAGCTGCTGAAACAGTTCTACTCAGCCGTCATCGAGTCTGTTCTGTGCACTTCAATAACTGTCTGGTTTGGTTCAGCTACAAAATCAGACATCAGAAGACTACAGAGAACGGTTCGGACTGCTGAAAGGATTATTGGTGCCCCCCTGCCTACCCTCCAAGAACTGTATGCATCCAGAGTGAGGAAAATGGCTCAGAAAATCACTCTGGATCCATCACATCCAAGCCATCTCCTTTTTGAACTTTTGCCGTCTGGTCGGCGTTACAGAGCACCGGATACCAGGACAGCCAGGCACAAGAACAGTTTCTTTCCCCAGGCAATCTACCTCATGAACAGTTAATGTTCTCCCATTGTGCAATTAAAGTACATTATGTGCAATAACCTTATAATTATTTATCACCCTAAATCCTAGTACATCCCTACAACTTATTTTATTTTATTCTATTCCTATTCCATCTATACCACACATGTACATACAATTTATTCTTTTTTTTGTGGTTTATATTTATGCATGTGTATTTTATTCACATCTCATTTTTATTATCTGTGTGTTGTTGTTGTCTCCGTGTACTGGAAGCTTGTGACACTATAACAAATTCCTTGTATGTGCAAACATACTTGGCAATAAAGCTCTTTCTGATTCTGATTCTGATGTTATGGACATGTGCAAGTATAGCCTTTTTATGAGGCTGCACTTATTTGATCAAAAAATACAGTAACAACTATAATACTGCGAAATTGCTATTTAAAATATCTGTTTTCTATTTGAACGTATTTTAAAATGTAACTAATTCCTGTGGTGGCAAATGCAACGCTTACCTGATTTCTTCATTTGTCTCATCTTGACAGTCGTTGCTCCAATTGACTTTCTTAGTGATCGAGCTCCTTTTGACATCTTACGGTACTTGGTAAGCCAGTCAAATTTTGGTTCTTCCTTCGGATACTGCTCACAGACATCTACAATTTTAGAAGACTCATTTATTGTTTTTACATAGATGAATTAAACTTCCAGTTTCAGGATAAAACAGTGATAAATACATAGAAAAAAATAATGATATGAATACATGAGTCTTAGCTGAATACTGCCTCTAAGAACATCAATCATTTCTATGTATATTCTGAGAAAGGCAAAAAGGAACTGTATTTTTCTTTTTTCCTCTGCTGCCGTTCCCTCTCTCAAAACTATTAGCCGCAATTTCACACTAACTTCAACATCTCATCACACAGATGAGCTCTAACTTCCCTTTGCAAGCAAGTGGCTGCTGGTGTCTGAGTTTCTATACGACCACAAATTATCTACAGTACAACCGTGTTGCCGCTTACCTTGCAAATTTCTAATATTCTTCTTCCGGTTAATGAGCACATCTGCTGAGCCCCTGATACTCGTCATCAGCGCTCAAGTGATGAAGGTCCTTCTAGCATCTGTTAAACATCACTTAGCCTAAGCATATTTCCTCTTCAGACCTTGTTGACTTTAGTTCGAGGCGTCAGATGAAATTACTTTCAAGCATTCATCTTTTCATCTTTAAATCACGAAAGATGCACTGTAGATCAACAATCATTAGAGCAAATAGCTACTTATTCTGTATCTTAAAAGCCACAAACTGAATAGAAGCAGACAACCTTCTTTTTTGAACTCAAACTCCGCCTCTCACACCCTTCTGTTCCGCAATCTTATTCTCTCTCTCGTCTTCCTTAATGTGTATTTGCTAGAATTAGCTGTTGTCTGAGAGTTGAACACACTGGCTGCTCAGCTTCTTCACTCTGAATAACCTATAGATGATCTCAGTTTATTTTGTGAAGATATATATATATAGCACTCGCAGGTTGTATAGCTGGACTTCCCTGTTATTACGCAATGTTTCCAAAAGTACCGTTTTACCAGGTAAATGAATGACAGAACCAGTCAGCTGATGTCTTCGAATGGCTTTCAGAATTTCGTTAGCATGAATGGATACACGTTTGGCAGGTTTGCTATGGATGGTATCAATGCAACGTTTTCTTCTGCATCACTGCCATGTGGATTACCCTTCATTTAATGCACTACTCAACATGAAAAACCACATAGTTCTACACAAAGGTCTTTTAAAAGTTTTGGGGTCAGAAAGATGTTTAATGTTTTTGAAATAAGTCTCTTCTGCTCACCAAGGCTGCATTTATTTGATCAAAAATACTGTAAAATCAATAATATAGTGAAATATTATTACAATTTTAAATAACATTTTTCCCCATTTGAATATATTTTAAAACAGAATTTATTCTTGTGTTGGCAAAGCTGAATTTTCCAGAAGCATTTTATTTATTTATTATTAGTACCGTAATATTAAAAACTGATTTTGCTGATTTATGTGAAAACTTAATTTTTTAGGTTTCTATGACAGCATTAAATTGAAATAGAAATATTTGGTCACATTATAAATGGCTATAATGTCACTTTTGATCAATTTAATGCATCCTTAATGAATAAAGCTGTCCATTTTTTCATTAGTAAATAAATATTTTACTGACCCAAAGCTATGGAAAGTCATGCAGAATGTGTATCTTACCACTCCATGCCCGATTGACTTCACTGAGGAAGAGACGGGTATGAGAACCAAAGGGTAACTTCAGCTCCAACTCCTCTTCAAAAAAAGTTACTCGTACCCGAGTATCTGCACCTTTGTAATAACAAGTAAACTAGCTATTAAAATAGTCCTGAGATACACTGAATATTGATGCAAACACTACTGCAACTGTTGATATATAATATAAATGCTCACCAACAACAGCAAGCTCATCTGGAGATGAAACTGTGGAGATATCAGATAAATCCATTAAATCCATTTACCATATTTTCACTTAATATGAACTAAATAATTATTTCAACAATTACCTTCAACAACTGAGAAGTCATAAGAAATGGGTATGATTTCATCCAGTCTGACATCATCACCAGTGATGGCCATTCTTCGATGGGAATATATGAATAACCTGAAAATAAACAGAACATGTTGAAAGTCTGCAAACACAACTTTAGTTTTAGAAACTTTTTGTCTTTTAGATTTTTGTCATTAATTAAAAACTATTAATGCTAAGTTGTACATGCTGTTGATAAAAGTCAGTAACAAAATAATTAAAAAATAAATCATTAATAAAGCCTTTTTTTTGTTTTAGAAGAGCAATTTAAATGTATATACCCAGCTGAGAAAAATATGATCTATTTAGCTAACCTTCCCACATTAAATTATGAAAACATTTTGAAAACATTTTCTTAGTTATGTGAACATTTGAGACAACATTAATGGAACAATCAATTTTATCACTTTGCAAACATTATGGGAATGCTAACCCTAACTTGTTGTTGCGCAGTTGTCGTTGCTAGGAAACGCTTGTTTTGTTTACTGTGTTGAGACGTGCTGAAGTTGCGTTTGGTCTCGTACTCTATCGCATACCTTTGATGCGTTCCAAACGAGATATATCGCCCTCCGAAGGGCACTTCGGAGTGAAAACAATCATGGCCGCCATATTGAAGGGTCGTTCCAAACCGAAGTGCTCAAAACTGGCCACTTCAAAGGGCCTTTCGGAATGAAGGATTTCAAAGGGTACAACCATAGACTGTAAAATAAGATGGACGACGCGTCTGCACTTCCTTCCACTATAGAAAAGTGAAGCCAAAGCATCTCAGTCTGGCCGCTGCCATCTTGAATAAATGACATAATTTGGAGCCAGAGTCTGTGCAGTAGAGATTTGTTTGGAGCCAGAGTCTGCGCAGTAGTGTCGTGAGGTGGAGCCGCGGTATCAAACTCTCACCCAAACTCCCACAGACCCAATCAACCATAACGACACGCCCCGTTTTTGTAGCATCAAATTACTAGCTAAAATCAAACTTATCACAAAAACGAACAATTGAACATACTGTATATCAGCGTAATAACAACTACCTTAAATTACAAAAAACATCTTTCGGAAAATTGTACTGGGAGTGTAATTAATTTTTTTATTTTGACTCAAGTCCCATTCGTTTACATGGAGAGGGCGGGGTTTATGACCTGTACTGCAGCCAGCCAATAGGGGGCGATCATAGAGCCCACAGCTTCACTTTTCAGGATGTGTGAGGCACACCCGGGTACAACTGATGGACACTTCAGGCTCCCATGATCCTTTGCGCAGATTCTTTGCATGATGACGGCGCCTCCGTGTGGGCATGTGATGATGACGCAGAAGGGCACTTCAAGGAACAGTTGTTTGGTCCCCTATACCCTTTAACCCTTCGAAGCTTTCACTCCGGAGGGTAAACCCTTTGAAGGGATTAGGGCATAGGGATGAGCCCTTCCGAATGGAACGCAGGGCTTGCCAGTGCCGTGCGCTTGCTTAGCCCTTTGTTGTGATAAACAGTAAAGTGTGTTCAGCTGAATTCAATTTCCGTTTTGTCAAATGGTATAAAAAAGGTTAGTATACCACGCCAACCCTCGTGTGAAGATGGAAGAGTGTAAAGACCATCTAAAGACTGTCAGTCTGCAGTAAACAAAGCAGATTTCATTACATCTATTGCTAGTCATTCAAGGCTAAACCTCATGGCCCTGACAGAGACCTGGATCAAACCAGAGGACACTGAAGTCCTGCAGCACTCTCCAATAATTTCTCTTTTTCCCACACTTGCCGTCTGACTGGAAGAGGTGGAGGTGACTGGGAATTTATTCCTTTACCTTCTCTGGGTATTAACAGCTCCTTTGAATCACATTCAGTCACTATTACCCACCCTTTTAAAATCCATTTTGCAGTTGTTTATCGACCCCCAGGGCCACAGGGTAACTTCTTGGATGAATTAGATGTGCTGCTCTTAACCTTTTCTGAGGATGGTACTCCCCTAGTTACGCTTGGAGACTTCAACATCCACCTAGATAAACCTCAGGCTGCAGACATCCACACTCTGCTTGCCTCTTTTGATCTCAAGAGAGTGTTAACTACGGCTCACAAATCAGGCAACCAAACTGGACCTTATTTACACATGACACTGCTCCACTGATCATGTACTGGTTATTCCACTGCACACCTCGGATCACTTCCTCCTCACTCTTAACCTCAACATGGTTCCTGACACAACACAATACCCCTACACATGTCATCTTTCTACGTAACCTACGCTCAACTCTCACCCTCTCGGCTATCTGCTATGGTTTCATCTTCCCTTCCTCTCCCTAAACAGTTAGCATCTCTTGATGCTAACAGTGCTACTGATCTTGTTTAGACACTTGTCTGTCCCTTGTCTTCCAGGCCAGCCCGTACCACTGACCTTAATATGTATCAATCTCTCCTCTCTTCCTTCTCTGCTAATGTCTCCACTGCTAAAAAGACATACTATCATAACAAAATTAACAATTCGTCTTACTCCCGCATGCTCCTTAAAACATTTTCCTCGCTCCTTTGTCCTCCTCCTTCCCCTCCTTCATCAACTCTAACAGCTGACAACTTTGCCACGTTCTTCATTAATTAAATTAAAACCATCAGTGCACAATTTTCCACACCACAATCTGTCAAGCACATCTTACCAGCAAACATACACTCGTTTACACCCTTCTCTTCACTCTCTGAGGCAGAAGTCTCCAAACTCATTCTTTCTACTCATCCTACTAATTGTCCGCTTGATCCTATTCCATCTCATCT